CTTCATTTATTCAAGCGAAATAATCCCTTTTAAATGGAAAAATTATTCACACTTGTCCTTTAGATGTGACAAGAAGGTCATTGACATCAGAATTTTATATTTATGTGAAGTCAATGCATATAACTTATTTCTCTATTCATAGTTTGAATGTGACAGAAATTATGTGTAATACAAAGTATAAATGATACTCTATGAATAATTTACACTGATAGTAACTAATTTTGATTAATGACTGATATCATTGTGATATGATAATTGTAATTAACTATAATTAAATTATAACGTCTTAATTTATCACTGTAGCAAGCAAAATTTTACAGTTATGCAAAAGTTGTACCACTTAAAAAATATATTAAATCATGAAACAATCAAAAGTTAAAGAAAAAATACTGTACTGATAATCTGGAATAATTTTAGGATTAGTATGAGTTAAATGAGTTTAAATAAGTTAAATGAGTATGAATTAAAATGTGAGAATGAATTTGTTCTGAAAAAAATCACTGAAAAAGTAATTAATGTTTGCTTAGCTATTTGATAAACAGTTAATTAGTAGCAATAATGATTAGTTTGTCTAGTATCAGTAAATACTACTTTAAGTTACTATTTAAATTAATTTTTTTGTACATATAATTGTGAACTATCTTCTAACAAATCCATTGCTGAATCATCAAAATAAAAATAGTGGCGCATTATTAATTTACATTTTAAAAGAAATGGTAATTTGAAAATGTCATTTCTGTTTGATTGTAAACAATGTAAGAAAAATTTTGTAACAGAGAATTGAGATCAATAAATGACAAAGAATGAATATTTAAAAAAGGATAGAATTTAATCAGTATGAGTCATGCAATTGATCATTTATAATTTTTAGAAATACAATCTAACTAATTGCATATTGATAAAATAGAATTAATTTTTTTATCGATTTAAGCGATGACTCATCAACACACATGTATTTTTAAAAAAAAAAAAAAAATAAACAAATAATTCCTTCCTTGTACAATAATTTGAAGTAATTTACATATTGTATGAGTAAATAACCTTAGCTTTTGTTTGCTCGCTTTTTTTTTTATACTTTATGCTAGATGCCATGATAAGCCTTAAAAAAAGAGAAGCAAATTAAGCAAACAGTACTGAATATATTTAAACATTTACTCTCAGCCAAATGTATAGTTTTTTGTTTTGTTAATTGTATCATTTGATTTGCAAAAATTATAGCAAAATTAAATTAATTTAATTAAATGATTTAATGAATTAGATTGACAAAAAGTTTAATTTTTAAAATCAAAAAAAAAAAATAATTCCTTTCTTGTACAATAATTTGGATTAGGAACAGCAGAGTCATTGATTAATAGATCAATTTCAAAAAAAAAAGAAAAAAAAAGAAAAGTTGATCATGAACAGAATTATTGATTGATAGATCAATTTTAAAATAAAAATAGAAAAAATGAAAAACAAAAAAAAAAAAGTTGGGAAGAATTGATTAAAATTAATAAATGAAATTATATTTTGTAAAATATTTGGGCTTGGTAATTATAAAGAATAAAAATTGTTAGAAACAATAAAAAAGACTCATTCCAAAATCGCCAATTTTTCTTAGTTGAATCAAATTTTAAATTTTATTGAATTCTGCAAAAAAAAAAAAAAAAAAAAAAAATTTAAGTGGGATGAAATCTGTGATTTTTTCTTTTTTTTTTAGTTCATTCGCCAATGTTCACTTATATTTAAATTTCACTAAAAAAAAAAAGCGAGAAATCTATACTATAGTTTAGAAATTCAAATTGAATTAAAATTAATCCATTTACAATTCATTTAACAAGATTAACCTAATTTAAAACTATCCAATTAAAATTGGTATATTAAAAAAAAATAAAAAATAGTATTTTAAAGTATTTTTAGGTTAATAATGAAATTAGCAATATTATCATTCAGAAATTCAATACTTATTTCTGAAATACTAAATTTTAAATTGATATTGTATGACGTTAAGCAATTTTACTTTGTTATTTACTTAAACAAATGAAATTTTTGTTATTTTTTTATGCACTTTAAAAAAATAAAAATAAAAAAAGAGATTGATGAGATAAGCTAATATCGTTGGAGGAGCAAAAACTTTAGCAAGTTCAAAATATGAAAATTTTAAATTGAAATTTATTTGTAATGATGTATTGAATGCGCAAAATGACGTATAACATTTTACGATAATACGTACACGTATAATTTATGTATAACAATAATTAATCAAACATTTTTAGTAAGAAGATGGAAAAACTTTTTAAAAAAATATAATATGATGAAGTGGTAAAATAGTTTGAAAATTGAATTGAAATTTGATGAAACTTTGAATTTATAAAAATAAAATGAATAAACAAACATTAATTTCAGACATTTCAAGTGCTTTCTGATTAATTGCTTAGACTACTGTTGTTGTTGTTGTTGTTGCTGTTATTGTTGTTGTTGTTGCTGTTATTGTTGTTGTTACAGTTATTGCTGTTGTTTGTTATTATTATTAGTGCAAGGTAATAATACTGAACAATGTTGTTTATTTTCGAATATTTGATCTGCTAAATGAGTGAAAAACTTTGGTTGAATGAGTCAGAAGGAAGTAGGAGAAACGGTAAGTAACACGTAAACAAACGGAATGACGTGATTAGACGGATAAAAGATGAAACATCAATAATTCAAATCGAATTAGAATCATTAACAAACATTAACAAAATTTATTTGTCAATATTTTGGGTATTTTTTTGTTTTTGCTAATTAATATAGTTTTGTTTATTTTCTAATATTTGAACTCAGTCAATTGGGCAAAATGTACAAAAAAAGTTTTATTCGACATTTAGCTAAAATATTTTGGATTGTTGCATAATAATATGAATAATTAAATATTTTTTATGTATGTACCAATGCTATTTGCATCTATAATTCCACTTTTTTTTTCTTATTTCGTCGGAAAATTTGCATTTTCTCACAGATAACATTGTCATAATAATAACAATTTAATAATAAATAAGTAATAATAAAAATATAAATTGTAATAATAATAACAACAATAATAGTGATAATTAACAATATTATTAATAACAATGGTAATAGTAATAATGGTAATAATAATAATAATAATAATAATAATAATAATAATCGTAATAAATATGAAAAGAAACAACTTGTAAAAGCAAATAACATTGATGCTGTGATTTTTTTTAAAAAAAAAAAAAGAGAGGCTGAATGTCGTTGAATATATTTCACAAATTTTTGAATTGGCAGTAAATTTTTTGTTATGAAAATTATATGAGAATTACTGTGTCCCTGAAAAAAATGTGAAATTATTATTATTATTTTTTTCTTTTCGCACTAAAAAAGAATAAAAATGGAAGAAATCACTTCAATTATAATACATATTATATGCTTTTGTATATTATCAAATATGAAGTTTTATATCATTTTTATCTGTTATTTATCTTATCACTAATGATAATAGTTTATAATAATTGAAGTGAAACTTTGAAAATTTTGCTTCTTTTATTTAAATTTTAATATTTTTAAATATTTTTTGTTAGAAATTTTCACTAACAAATTGACTGAAATTTTCGAAAAAAAGATGCAATAAGCAGTAATTTAAATATTATTTCTTAACAATAAATAATGTATAATGAATTATTTACAATTTCTTTTTTGTAATATTAAAATTATGATGAATGGATAATTTAGTAAATTAAATTCAAAAAGCAAGAAGACAGTAGGCGCTAAAATCAATTATCAGTAATTTAACTTATCACTTATCGTTCCTTCTTTCTTGCGCTGATATTTGTATCACACTAAACAATTCTTGGTGTTCCTGGTATGATATAAGAAAGATGTAAATTTATCATATCATATCATATCAAATTTAGTGTTTAAATATTAAAAAACTCATTGTTACATCTATTTTTTTTTTCATTTAATTCTTCATTTTTTAATTTCTAATTAATTATCAGAAAAATAATATTATCACAGTAATAGCTCACCTTTCATTTCAATAATACTATTATAGAATCCAAAGATATGAAAAAAAAAAAAAATTTTGAATAAATTCAATTTACTCTTTCCATCTCCAAAAATATATGTTTGAAAGTTTCCACAAATAATTTAAAGAGAGTTTCTAACAGTAAAATACGAGAATATTAGCTAGTATTAATTAATTATCGCATTTCCCGCATTATTTACCTACCCAAGCGGGAACATTTGCAACGATGGGAGCAAAATTTAAATAAAGCAAAAATTGAAATGACTTATTGATCTTTTGAGATTTTTACTATTGCTATTGTTATTACAGTTTCATATTAAGTTGAAAAAATAAAGCCTTAAAAAAAAAAAAATTTCAAAAATAAAAAAATCAAATAGTAAAATTCAAAAAAAAAATCCCACAAATTTATTATTGTTTAAAAAAAAATGATTTAAAACAAAAGAAAATAAATAAAATATTCCAATGTGATACTTTTCGCTAATTTATCTTTGAATTGCTTTCATTAATTAATTATTCATTTGAAACAATAATGAACACAAAGCTTTAATAATAATTATATAAAATAGAGAAAAAAAAAAGAAAAAATATTTTTGATTATTATTTTACTAAATTTAAAAGTACAATAAATTCACAAAAAAATTTATAAAAATACAATAAGTTTATAAAATATGCCATAAAAAAAAAAAAGAATTAATTGTATTCTTCCCCATATTATTATATTTACTTGTAATAAACATTTTCAAAAAAAAAAAAAATTTTTTTTTCTTATTTAAAATTTAATTTAAACCTAGCAATGTATGCTTATCAAACAAAAAGTTTTTTTTTTAATATGAAATTTAACTTTTTACTATTCCAATTAATGAAACATATACCTACTGCTAATAAAAGCTTATAATAGTTATATCTATTTAAATTATTTTTTGAAATAAAGTTTAATAATTAATTGTTCAATTAAATTTTTCCTTTCATTTTGAACAATTAATTAGAGCCTAATTTAGGCATACAATTTTGCAAAGTTTGATAAATTGACAAAAAAAAAGCAAAAAGCAAAAAGTAAAATAAATATGATTAATGATGAACAAATATTATAAATGCAATTTGCTTTGGATGACATTTTCTCAACAACAAATTTCAAATTATCAATTGTTTTGCTTATTATCTTATTATCACCAATTTTATCATTGCATGCATCATTCCCACGACAACAACATAATTTTCCAATTTTTCGCTCATTGTATTGCTGAAAAAAAAAAGTTAAAAAAAAAAATTTCGGCATTTTTTTTTAAATAGTTTAAACTTGAATGAATTCTATTATTCCAATGGTACATCTCATTTAATAATACTAAGGTATTCGCATTGTTATACTATAAGTTTTTTTTTTTTTTTATTAACACTAAATTTCATTTCCCTTTTTTTTTTTGTCATATATATGTTTTTTTTTAGATTTGTCTAATTTTTTTCCCTTATATTTAATTTTATGCATAGTTGGAACGAATTGATAAATTTGATAAAAAGAATGGATAAATTCAAATCTGTAAGTTTTTTGATAAGGAATAAATTGAAGCAAAAGTATTGCTATAAAATTGCACCATATAATTAATTAATAATTTATTACCTTTGAATAAAGATCCAAACAAGCTATTGTGGTATCATTGATAATATAAGTCTTATCAACAAATTGATCACATCTTGGTTGCTCCAATAAATCATCCATATCATCAAAGTAGACACGATTTGCTATACGCTAAAAAAAAAAATTAAAAATTGAAATTTGAAATGTAAATTTCATTTTAAATCAATAGCTAAAATTTGAAAATTTAATAATATATCAAATAAGTACGGATCGCTTTTGTTGGAATAATTTTTACCACATATTTTAATACTAACATTTTAATGGTAATAAGAAATTACGATATCAATAGAATAGTAAAAATAAAATTTAAAAATTTTCAAATTCATTTCAGATTTACAACTACAAATAAAATTTCACGCGAATATGAAAATTCAGATAGTAATTTGAATTAGTTAATTAAATAATCTACAACTGGTGTTTGTCGATCAATTTTGAGACGTTTCAAAGCTCGTGATTGACAACCTCGTAAAATTGCTTCACTCCCGTCGCTATTCTAAATTGATAATTAAAATTTAATTAGTCTAGAGATTAATAATTTCAAAAAAAAAAAAAAGTAAATAAAATTATAATAAATAAAATTAGCTTAGATGTTATGATTTAATAATTTTTAAATTGTACTACAACTTTTTTCCTTTTTTTCCCATTAATGATGACCTAAATATTTTTAACTAAATTCAATGAAGAATTTAAAAAAAAAAAAATTTAGGAAATGAAAATTAGTGAAAGGAAGTGAAAAGAAGAAAAAAAAAGTAGCAATGACAAAAAATGACATTCGAAAGTAAATTATCTATTTTATTCTTTCTTTTATCAGGAAGAAAAAAAAAAACTTTAGTTGATAATTATAATATATAAAAAGAATAAAAATTCCTTTCAATAATATCCTTGAAAATGTTCAAAAATGAATATATTTTATTATCATATAAATTTGAAAATTTGCAAATCTTTTTGTAAAATAAAAAACAAATAAAAAAGAAAAAGCACTACATGTTAAATTTTAAAAAAAAGAAATTGATAATTGATATAATTTTAATTATCATTTCTATGCAAATACTTGTCAATTTTACTTATCACAATTTATAATTTAATTTTACATATCACAAATATATAATTTAAGTTTTTTTTTTTTTTTTTGTTTGAAAAACTATTTAAATTTTAACATTTTATAAAAAGATTTATGATCAATTTTTTTTTCCAACTTCAATTTCAATAGTTAAAATTAAATAAAAAGTAAGAAAGAGTACATATTTGAAGTAAGCAAAACACCATGGATCGAAACAATTCTTGAAATGTGCAATTGATTTATCGTACTGATAGTTATAAACACAACTTTGAAAGCCAATTGACATTATTGGTTTGACATTTAAGAAATTATAATTGCACATATCCTAAAATAAAATAAAATATTGGAATAATTTAACTTAATTATTACTCATTTACCTTAACTCTTCTTTAACTTTTTACTCTTTTATAACTTTCCTCTTGCATTTATCCTATTCCACTTTATTTATTTATTTTATTTTTTTAAATCTATTCAAAATTACACACATAATTTGCAAAAAAAAAAAAGAAAAGAAAATTAGATTAAATTATTTTGATAAAATTTTATATGAAAATTTTTTCCTCAAAAAAACAAACAAACAATCATTCTAGCTAGCTAGTTTAATTTTTTGCTGATTAGATTTAACTCTAAATTAATTAAACTACTCCTCTTTCATGAACTTTAAATTAATTAAACTACTCCATCTGCTTATATTTTTTCAGACAAGGAAAAATTTACAATTTAATTTAAAATTTCAAAAAAAAAAATGAAAAAGAAAGTTTAAATTAATTTAACCGCTTCATTGCAGCAACATTTAATATTATCATCGCCACGATCGAAACATCCGGTTGAATTAAGTCTTCCACGAAGTGATTCCTGATTTGAGCAATATTTTGACTTATCACAGTCAAATAAACCCGAAATTTTATCATGAAAACACCAACCGAACAAATTATTTGTTTCACAAATACCCTTAAATTTAAATTTGCAAAAAAATAAATTTAAAATTTTATTTTATCCTTTTTCTTTTTTTTTTTTGTTTGAAATATAAGAATTAGTTAGAATGTAATCAAATTTTCAAATTTCAACTGAAAGACTACAGAAATTGAATTTACCTTTTCGCTATCAACACAATCTCGACAATCAGTTGATCCAAAATACAAGAATATAAGCAATAGCATACTGTAAGATTTTTTTTTTTTTCATATTTAATTAGTATTTCTAGCTAAAATGAAAAGAAATTTATTCTCGAATGATAGAAAAAAAAAAAATTTTTTTTCAGTGGTTTCATTGGGAAAGTATTGATTATTTAAATGAATGCTTTTGAAAAAGTTTTAATTATATTTTAATTAATTTATCTCAAAAAAAAAAGTGACATAAAGCTAACGAAAAGTAGTTCAAGTTAAAACATATTTGAAAGCTTTTTAAATTTATTTTTGAACCCACAAAAGGATCCATTACGAGAAGCTGATCACAATTAATATATAGCATTTGTGTCACATTTTTTTAGGGAGGAAATTTTATTGTCAAAGCTAACTTTCCTTGCATATTATCCCTTTTCATGCATTTTTAATGTAAAAAAAAAAACGACATCACAATTTATTTATTTTTTTTTTATTTTGCATATAAAAATTCATCGAAAAATATATTCTTTGATCGCCACTTCTCTTTTTTTTTTTTGTTTTTTCTTGAAAAATCCAAGGAAAAAGTATATTCTTATAATCAATATGTTAGAATAAAGTTAATTGTGTTTTTGATATTCATTAAAAAATGTTAAATTCTTGAAATTATCCATCCATTAGTTCCTAAATTTTGACTTAATCTATTCATGGAGATAAGTTTATATTATGAAAAGTTACCGAAATTTTCCTAAGATTTTTTTTCTGTGACAATTTGCTTTTCTCCCAGAGGTTTTTAAATATAATAATTTATTCTTGCATACATATATAAATGAATTAAAAAAATTACAACCTTAAAATTATCACATCAAATGTGATTCATATAACATTTAACAAAGCAAATTAGACTAATGAGAACATAGTAAAATACAATTTTCTAGTAATATAGTTTATAATTTAAAATTTTATGGAATGATATAATGAATAATAATCAATTGACCTAATATATTTAAAAAACAAATTTCTAAAAAAAAAAAGTAGTGCATATTCATTTGAGTTTTTTTTTTTTTATGTTAAATTGAGAAGATTTCAATAAACTATGAAATTAATACTACTAAAGTTTTGTTGATTTAATAGTAACTTGTGGAGCAAGTATATCTAAACGACTTTGCACCAATTGTAATTCCAATTCCTCCGATGTTGGACTATATTCTTTCGGATTTCGCTGATCTACAAACAACAACATATTTTCTCAAATTTAAATTTAGATAATCCTAAATTAAAAAGAAGTAGAAGAAAAACAAAAAAACAAAAAAATTCAGTATTGAATAATTTCGATTTGAAATCAAATCAAAATCTTTAAAACTTTCTATTACTTTTTAATTTTATATTTTATTTCATTTTAAAATTTGCAAAAAACATTTTACATTCTAAATTTATAAAAAAAAAAAGTTCCAAATTTCCAATAAAACAAAATTCTTAATAATTTCTAATATAACTTACAATAAGCTCTATTTGCAGTTCGTCTTAATATACCCTGTAAAGTACCAATAACATTTTGAATAGCTAATGCAATATCACCATCCAATTTATCCATCCAAACAAGGAGTAAACTGATGAAAACATCACCAGTACCTACGAATTTTCCTGGTAATATTGGTATATCAAAACGATACTGCAATGCTCGTTCATTTGCGCCTAAATAAAATATTTAAAGTATATATATATTTTATTATTTAATTAAAAAATACTCATATAACATTAATAAAATTTTAAAATTCCTCCTCTTAATAATAAATCTTTTAAAAGAAAAGTAATAAATAAATAAAATTATTAAGAGTTACAAAAAATTGCAATTATTTTACTATTCAAAAAAATTTTGTAATATATAAAAAATAAAATAATTATATGAAAAGATACCTTTGGAAACAGATGCATAACAAAATTTTGTAGTTGATGTTTCCAGACCACTTGAAACAACCACTATTTTAACACCACATTTATGCATTAAATCAATTGCTTCCAAACATTCTCGTTCATTATTTATTGATAAACCAGATAGTTCACTAGTAAAAAGGAAAAAAAAAAAGAAGAAATAATTACTTTCAAAATTTATAATTTATGTTAAAGATTCAAATTTTATTGAGAAATGTGTTAAATATCTCAAAATTTAAAGCTTTAAATCTTGTATATATCAATTTATTCTTTTTTTTTTTAATCTTTCAACAACTCTGAGTAACTTTTTCATAAATAATAGTAGAAATTTGTCGTTTTGTTTATTTATAAATATTGTAGTGATAAAATTAAACAAAACTGTTATTGCATGAGAGTAAAGTAAATAAAATAATTTTACTTTTATCGTTATTTATCAGTGGCGTCAAATAAATTTTATTACTTTTAACATTTAGGTCTACTCCTTTATTTTTTATTTTTACTTTGATCAATTAAACAAATAATGTTTAGCGTATGAGTAACTCTATTAAAATATCATTTTTGTGAAGTATTTAATTCATGAATTCCTCATAATTTAAAATGACTTTCGAACTTACGATAATTCAAAAACATTTGGTGTGATTACATCAGCCAAAGGAATTACAATATCACGATAAACTGGCATCAACTCTTTCGGAACATACTAAACATGAATAAATTTAAATTTCAAAATGTTTAATGAAATTAATTTCTCACGAAAGAAAAAGTAAACTTTATAATCAAATCATTACTGATTTATCATGAAGTATCTAACCTTAACTTTTGAAATACAACTTACATAATTGCCGTCATCGCCCATTACAGGATCACAGTCTGCAAATACAAAAATTTAAAAATCAAAATTTAAGAATTAATTTTTAAAAAAACATTTTTGTCTGATTGTTAGCAACTGTAGAACATCAGACTTTTTTTTTTTCAGAGAGTACAAGTACCAGAAAAAGAATAATATATAATATATATATATATATAAACTTCTTTCTACATTATCCATATTTTATTTTATTAACAGATTCAGTAATAATAATAAAACACTTTTAAAAAAGGTTGTAGATAATCAGAAAGATGTAAAATTCTCACAGAAAAGAATATCTGGATTTCTCTGCTTCAAATCTTTGACTATATTAACAACTTCTTGCAGAAATGATAAATTCCTACAATATCCTGAAAATGTCGAAATGTAAATAGAAAAAAAGAAAACAATTACTATCGGTAATTAATCAACTGGAAAATTATTTCTGAAACTTTAGTCTTATAAATAATTTCATTTCTTAGAAATCAAATCGTACAGTTTCAATTATAAGTCAATATGATAAATTAACATAAAGATTTTGTAGTTAAGGTCATTGCTTTCAATAAGCTGTAGTTAAGGTCATTGTTCTCAATAAGCTGTAGGTAAGGTCATCGTTTTTAATAAGCTGTAGTTAAGGTCATTGTTTTTAATAATCAATGATCGAAGTGATTGTAAATTGGCCAACGAATCACAGTCCGAAATTCATTATTGTATGAAATGATAAGAGCATCTATAAATGATACCTGTTAAAATGTGTGAGTAGTTGTTAATTTCATTCAGTTTCAAACCTTCATAAATATCACTTAATTGCAAACCATCCAATATTTGACCTCGCATCAATTTGTATGCTAAAAATTTTATCAATATAAATTTCTAAATTTAAAATTCTCGACTATTCGCTATTTTACTTCTGAGATTTCACAACTTTTCCATTAAGTAAATTATCATTTTTCAGGAAGTAAAATAAAATAACAGCAATTATAATTAAGTTTTCAATTGGGTAATTAAATTAGGAGTAGTATCACTAATAGATCACAAATATTAATCATTAATTATTTAGCAAAAATACATTACTATTCTTCTCTTTTTTTTTGCACTGCTCAAAAGAATATTCAGGAAACAATTTAAATTTAATTAAAAAAAAACAACACATATAAAACCATATGAAATTAAGTAATCAAATTATAGAATAAAGAATACCTGAATGATTAGAGAATTGTACCGAATTAATCGGATCCACTTCATAACCATGTAGCTAAAATGTTATTCATTTTAATTTAACTTAATTATTGATTTTTTTTTTTTGCATTTCTTTAAATAACTTAAAGCTTTTATTAAATATATTCATTAAAAAATTTTTTTTTAAAAAAAAAAAAAAGAAATTAAAAATCATAAAAATAGATTACAATTTACATTTCTTTAATTAATTAATTAAAATTTTTTTTTAAAAAAAAAGAAATTAAAAACCATAAAAATATATGAATGAATTTTGTTAAAACAATTAGAACGACAAAAAAAATTTTTACCTGCATTGGAAATACACTACATTTATTGCCAGCATATCCATGTATCACATGACTTTGAATTGACAAAATACGACGATCAACTGGTGGATTATTTTCAATATGTTTATAAATTGTGTTAGATATTTTGTTTTCCATAATGCATTGAAAATTTTACACTTAAAACATTTAAAATATTTGTCAAAAAGAAACTGAAATAAATTTTTGATATGCCATAAGAAAATTTGTATTAAATTCGTAAGAATTTGTAGACTAAAGATTGTTCTATTTGAATATTCCTTAAACAAATATAAAACAATTTTTTAAATTTTTAACTAAGAAATTATTTATCTAAGTACTCATCTCAAAGCATATATGCACTGTATTAATACAAATTATTTTCCTCTAATTTTATTCTTTGGATCTTTCACTTTGATAGTTAAAATGTTAAAGCACTGTAAACTGTTTGTTCAGTTAGCTTTCTTTGCTATAACTAATCTGATTGTAATGTTGAAATTATCGTTGAGGTCATTTAATCACTCTTATATCTGTATAGAGAGCAAAGGTCATACGAGAGTGACAACTCGCATTTATGCGCTTTTGACGTAAGCTAAAGTGCGCTATATAAAAAAGCACTACTAGTGTAAGCTTCGATTTCTTAGTCAAATTACTTTCAATAAATGATGGCTTATCAATTATTTATTATTATTACTGATTTATTATTATTATTATTAATTATTACTATTATTATTATTAATTACTAATTATTATTAATAATAATAATAATAATAATAATCACTGTTACTATTATTGATTACTATTGCTATTATTATCATTATTAATTATTATTATTATTAGTTATTAATTATTAGTATTATTAATTGTTATTTATTATTAATTATCATTATTGTTAATTATTAATTATTTATTATTATTATTACTATTATTATTAATTAATACTATTATTATTATTAAGAGCGATATTATATGGTATCGTAAAAAAATAAAACTATTGTAAAATTATAAAAACAATAACAATACCTATTAAAATTTCCCCTCCTCTCCCAAAAAAAAAAAAATACTGAAAAAAAAGGGTAAAAAAAGGTAACCAGTAAAGAATATTCAGATTAGAGATAAAATTTTTCAGCAAATTAAATCATCACTTGGAAAGTATCATCTAATCGCAGATATATTATTATATTCCAAATATTCTCATCGAAATAAGCTAAATTCCTTCCCTATTATTTAATCAAAACAATGATATCTTTGAAAAAGCCAAAATTATAACAGAATTTAGTCAATTATAATCAATAAAACATAATTAATTCTAACTCTATAACCAAATGAGAAAACTTCAAGCAACTCTACGTGATAAAATGATGAAGTAAATATTAGAAATTAAATTATTGAACTTTTTCATTTAATTGAATATAAAATGGATGAATGATGGATTTATATTTAATTTGGTATATTAATGGTTATAAAATAGTGATGGTAATGATGATGATGATGATGATGATGATGATAGCATAAATGAAGGGAAATGATGAGTGCTTGAATTCATTTCAAAAGCAAATGGAAATGACAGCTATGAAAGCATCTAGCTATTAGACTTAAAATTTGTTTTCATTTCTATATTTTAGCATTTGTATGCTAAAGAGAGAGCAGCATAAGTTTAGATATTACATTTGTATAGTGAAGAAAATAAATTGATTATGGTGACAAATGGGAATGAAATTATTGCCAGAGTTTAGTTTAGAAAAAGAAATCAGTGATGGAATAATACTTTGAATCATTAATGTTACATGAAAAAAAAATTTGAAATCAATCTATTTGAAATTATAAAATCGATGATGATGTATATATATAGTGATTGTCAAGATGCACTCAACTGATAAAAACATTATATTTGTCAATAATTTCAAAATTATATGACAATAAATATCAAAAGAAAATGCTTTATATAAATTACACCATATCGAAAAAAAAAAAAAAGTCAATTTTATTTACACATTAATTTTCGGAAGACAATTTTCGTCAAAAATTTTACCTTTATATTGATGAAGACTTCTTGAGAAGCATATATTATAATAAACTTTTAAAACAAGAAACAATCCAGTTTTTCGCAATCAGTCAAAATATACCAATAAAAATTTCAAAAGAGAGAAAAGGTCTTTTTTTTTTTACAATATTTTTAATGAAAAAGTTCACAACGTTCTGACATGTGCAAAGATGTTACAAATACATTTTACAAAATACAGTTCCTGTAACTGTATAAAGAGAAACACTCTTTCAGCTGTAAATGTTTTAAAAAAAAAAAACCAAAGTTAAAAATACCAAGTAAAACTAATATACCAATAACTCTTATACAAAATTTCGCATAAGCTAGAAACAACGATAAAGAAGTGAAATAAACTAGCATCAAATTAAAGAATTTTCAAAAGAATAAGAATACTAGTAGTATCTGAAATTCTAATACTGAAAGCATTTAAAATTTTAAAAATATTATTAGTGAACTGAAATGGAAAATGTTTGATAAGTGGAGTTGTAAAAATTCTCCAAAAAAATATATAATATGTACTAATGTGTATCATTAGGCAGTATATAATTTACAAAACATAAAATTGAACAAATTTTAAGAGTTACAAAATTGCTAATGCTAAAAGATTTTACCTAATAATGCAGTCATGTGCAATTAATAATAAGGTTATGCATCGTACAGAAAGGTTAATTGCAATTTAAAAAAAAAAAAGGAAAAACGAAGCTTAACTTTTATAATCAATTTTTTACTTCTTTTATAAAACATTTTTACCAGTACAATAACATAACAGGCAGTATTCCGACTTTGTTTTGCAAATTACATCTTAAAAATTATTAGTAACTCTGTAGCAGACAACTCTTGATACCAACTTATATAGTGTTTATTGGAAATTGAAATGATATTTATGAGGAAAGAAAACAGGTTTAGGAGTTTCTTTAAAAAGTAATCATCTATTACTTATTAAAGATTGAAAAAAACAAAGAACAATAAATAATAGACTTAGAAATGATAATAACATTAAAAATGGCCAAATAATGCACAACAAATCCAAATCCAATAAAAGCTAAGAGTTACAGAATGCTTTAAAAACTCATGCAATTTCAAGTTCACTCTTGTGTAATTTTCAAATTTATGCATACAAGTTGTCATTATTTCATTATCAAAAGGTTTCAAGTTTTCGAAATATGAATAAACAACAATTATACTTTTATTAGCGGTGAAAATTATTGAAAATACAACAGTTTAACACAAGACACCATTATAATAATTAATAAATGAGTCACCCGTAGAAAAAAGGAGTAGAAAATCAAAAAACATTACAGAAGGACTGGATCACTATTAAATATTCGCGAAGTCATTGGTTTTCAATGTCATCAACGTATCCAGTCTTTCCCACCCGATAAAGAAAAAAAAAAAAAAAAAAAACGGCACAAATTACAAGCAAGAAAAAATTCATCCTTATTGACAAAAAAAAAAAAAAGAATGAAAACTGAACTTAAATTGCAACTAATTATAAGGACTAGAAAATGCTTTACACTATAATATATAATAAGACCTCATAATTCATCCTTGTACAACAACGAATAACGCGTTTCCGATGGTTTCAACTGCTTGAATATGCTCGTTGGTGGTTGCGATTTATCTGTTCCTTTCGTTTCCTAAAATTTGAATGAAATAATACTCATACAAATGTGAAATAATTTTCTGTGAAATCTATCTTTATGGTAAATTCAAAATAATGCCAAAGTAATGTTTGGTGTTGAAATTTTATAGCATAAAATATAATTTTTGAAGTAACTGAAGAGACTAATACTACTATTAAAATCCAAAAATCCTGACAACTAGTATCACAAATTTATTTCAACAAAGTTACATTATGCATTCTGCATTGAACAAGGTCTTCATTAAAATTTTAACAGATTTCATTTCCAGAAGGTATGAAGCGATTATTGCAGATATCAAGATGCACAATGCTATATCATATTTCAGAAAGTAAAAAAAAAAAAAAAAATGAAAATGATTACATTTTCAAAGATATGTGGCGGGAAATCAAAAATGTTACGAATGGGCGACTGTAAATGATAATAAATAATTGATATTTTTAGTGAAAGAGGTACTATACTAAAATTTTAACTTATTTGTATCGGTCACTTATTTCGATATAAGTGAAATAAATTCTTACTTTTTCAAATGTAGTTTCAGACGATGCTGGTAAGACAGAAGATTGCGTTGGATCAGGACTGTGATGAAATTCTCGATGCAATTTTCCCGAATGTAAATCCAGAACAAATTGGCGCAATTTTCCAGGCACGCTGCAACAGTGAATTAATAGAACCGACTTATTAAAATGAACCTTTCCTAGCATACAAAGATCTGAATTTTTAACAAATTTTCACAATTCTTTTACATTTGAAATATTCTCCTTAAAATACAACATACGTTAGTGATTTCATATCCGGGAAAAGATACATATGACGGAAAGAATCTATTGCAAGCACAGGCAAGTCTTCCATTGTTTTACCAAGATGCTGTAGAGGATGTACAAATTTCTTACCATCGGCATATAAACAATTAATACTAGCTGCAAAACAAAATTTAAGAAGAAAATAGGCGTAATTTATGGCAAAAGAATTGAGAAAATTGAGCAATGTAAATGTTATTCAAAATTGAAGAAATTAATTTCCCTCTTGAAATCATTGATTACTGCAGCAGGATATTAAAAACTGAATCATATTCATCTTCCCTCCAATACCTTTTCTGTTCATCCTCTGAATAATACGGACTGTTAAATCCAAAACACAGGAATGAGCAATAGCGTTAATCCAACAATCAAACATTTTCAGCTACAAAATTTTCGAGAAATTTTGAATTTCCTTTCCCACATTCCACTTTAATTTGAAATGCTCACATTTTTGGTCAAAAAGTTCACGAGCAACTTGTTCCGTGAAAATTTTATCAATTTGTACATCATCTGGGTGACGAAACAGAATAAGGAACGGAAGGCCTTCTTCTGTCAATTCTTCAGCGTTTTCGAAAGTTATTTCGCGAACAAGCGGCACACATTTATCCATTATCCATTGCCTAAAATAATAACAAAAAGCCACACTAAAAAATTGGA